ATGGTAAATAAAACTTTAGGCGACAAAGTAGCATTGATCCAAGAAAGAACAAATTGGTCTTTCTTGTTCCACAACAAGTATTCTGGATTAATATCACCAGTGGATTTGCCATTTGCTGGGGGAAGATGTTGATCAGGGCACAGTTCAAAACAATCTACAAAACCCATTAGATTGTTTGATTTCAACACTGGAATAAATTGTGACAGCCATTGAAGGTAGTTTTTGCCATCCAATTCGACGGAGATAAGTTGGCCAATGTTTGGAGCTATGAAGGCTGGTGCGGAAGAGGTCTCAGGTGAAGAAGCCATTTGAGAAGAAATTAGAGAAGGAAAGCATGAGCCTTAGATGGCTCTGATACCATGAAAGATTTGATAAAAAGAATTATGGAAGTTTTGGTGTTCAATACCAAAACAGTATATCATTCAATGTTTATATAGATACGACATGAGATACAAAAGATTGAAGATTGAGTACAAATTAGTAGTATCAAAAACAGAGTCCTAAGCAAAATAGAATAAGCATCCTTATCCTAACAATTAGCAGATATATCAGACCTTAAGCATCCTTATCATGAGTAGATGTATCAGGATCACCCTTATTATGTAGAGGTAAGCTTGTACTAGGATCACATTGAAGAACCAAAACAGTAGGTTGGTTAACAACGAGGAGAAAATTTTTTCTGAATGTGTTATGTTCATCAGTAATACTATGTTGACCAAATTACCGTATGTTCATTGAGCGAATCCAACAGATGGCAGCAAACATAAATGTCTTCTCCCTACATGGGTTCGACACTCTGCTAATGGTGTGGCCGATAGTTTAGCTCGTTCTTCTTTACAATGCAACGATTCCATCAGTTGTCGAGTGGAATATCCAAACTTCCTGGGTCCTCTTCTTTGCAATGATGTTTATGTATAGTATTTTCAATAAAAGTTATGCCGTTTCAAATCAAAAAAAAAAAAAAAGCATGGCTGCACACACACTTGTTATTAATCCTATCACGTAATCCTCAATGCCGCCCGCGAGGACAAATCATGATTTCGCACCTTATTACGAGAGAGAGAGAGAGAGAGAGAGAGAGAGTGTGTCAAATTAACCAGTTAACATCAACATAATTTGTTTTAAAAGATCGAGGAAACTTTCAACACAGCTGGTCTATGGTCTTTAACTATACCAAAAATTAGGGTTGGTTGCTGCTATATATAATCTTTACTTTACACACAGATATGATAAACAACTACATACAAGAAACTGAAATATTCTGATGCACCCTAACCCTGCTGTCATCCATTTTACAGGAAATATGGGCATTTGTCAATTTATATATGCCTGTGAGCTATAAGTTCGGTTTGCTAACGACACCATCTTTGGAGATATACATATATATTAGTAGAAATAGTGAATAATTCATATTCATTAGACTCAAAAGATAATTGATCAGTGGGCAAAACGAAGTAGAGCTCAGTGCAATGAAGTGAAGCGGAGCATATTGACTAGTGCTTTAGGATTACGTTTATGTGATTGATGTTGATTAAAGAATTTTCAACTGGTGTCTATAAATAAGTTATAAAAATACCTTATTGGAAGTGGAATCAGCCGTTCTCGTAGATTTAGGCGAAATTTCTATGGAACCAAGTAAATCTAGTATTCTATGTTTTTTAATTGGTCACCACACTACATGTTCCAAATAATTAGTGTTATGTTATGTACGAGACCACAAATAAATACAAAAGCGATCCTTATAGGTGTAACTTGTAAGGATCAGTCCGTAACCACCCAATCATGACCTAAAATATTCATTTTGTAAGTTATGAGTTTTAGTTTAAGTTTAAGTTATGTAAGTCAAGTTCAACCAGAGTTTATATATTTAAGCATGGACGATTCTCAAATTAAAGCCGAGATAAACTTGAGTTGATGATTTTATAATAATTTATATTAGACTCGAATTAATCCCGCAACCCGCTCAAAGAAAATTATTTCATCGTATTAATGTTTTTTTTTTTTAGAATACATCGTATTAATGTTGAATTAATAAAAATATCCTTAATCAGAGTTTGTTACAATTTGATTTTATCAGTTGGGGGGTTATAATAGTAAATGTGTAAAATAATATGTTTGAGTTGGATTATAATACCACTTCTCTTGATGGTATTAAAAAACTTTTCTAATGCAATCTATCGTACAAAAAATATACGATAAGTATATATTTTTAAAATTAATACGGTATCAAATTTACTTACTAAATAAAGTATTAGACTCAATTAAATAAAAAATAAAATAATATAATATTTAATTTTCTCATAATACGTCTGTCAAGCAAGCCCATCGTGTTGGTGTGTAGGTTTGGGGGTTGAGAGCTAGAGGAAACTTTGAACAAGCCCACGTTCCTTAACACAAGCAAAAAATAAGGGTTAGTTGCTGTTCTAATGTTTTTTATTTTTTTTTTATTTTGCTATTGGCTCTAATGTTTACTTTATCCACAGATATGGGCATTTGTATAATGTCACTCTTTTGAAGATTGTACTCTACTCTTCTTTGGAAACTCCTCTCTCGGGCTTTTGATTCATTTAGAATTTATTGTAATAGTGATCAATCATTGCATGTCAAAATAAATATTATTAGGGCAAAAAAAAATCTTAATCCAATCTAAATTTTGGCAAACCTAACCCAATTCCGGCATAACCAAAGTTTTATTTTTATTTTATAACAATACAATCAACCTTAAAATGAATTCAAATCTCGGTTAAAAAATTAAATTCAAATTTTAACATGAGTTTTATGATCCAAGTTCAACCCAAATACAAGCAATACGCCGGTTAAATTTAAGATTGAAATCAAATTTAAGTTGAAAGTTGTGTAAACTTCGGCCGAGTTTGGATTAATCTCTAAACCTACCCGAGTTGCACCTTAGCCTCGAACAAACTTTTCTGATCAAATTGCATCATGAATTTGTACTTTTTAACTCGTATGCATTGCATGTTCCAAAAAAAAAAACTAAAAAACTTGTAGGTATTGCTATTTAGACTTGTTCAGTTTAGAATTTGGCATGCACAACACACTTTTTCAAATCCTATCATGTAATCCTCAATGCCACTCACCAGGACAAATTTTGATTTCCACAACTTATAATCATACAGAGAGAGAGAGAATGTCAAATGGCATGCTTAAGCCCATGGCCAAAATCTGATTAAATAAAGCACTATTGATGTTAGCTGGTTAATTACTTTATATCACTTAGTGGGTGCATGTAGGATGAAAGATGGAGGAAACTTTCAACACAGATGGTCTGTGGTCCTTGGCTCTACCAAAAATAATGGGTTGATTGCTGCTATAATGTTTACTTTATACACAGACATGAGTCACATGACAAACAACTACATACAAGAAAGTGATTTATTCTTCAGAAATTTTGTCTGCTGCACCCTACTGTTATCCAGTTTACAGGAAATATGAGCATTTGTCATTTTATGTATGCCCGTAAGCCAGTTTGGTTTGTTAAATAGGAAAACAACTTCGGATACATTAGTATTGGAAGTTGTTCATAGTACATAGTTACTAACCTCGATCAAAAGATAGTTGATCAGTGGGCAGAACGAAGAAGTGGAGCTCAGTACAACAAAGGGAAGCGAAGCATATTGACTGGTGCTTTGGGATAAGGTTTAAGTGATTGATCGTGTTGGTTAAGAGATTTTCAACTGGTGCCTATAAATAAGTAATAATCCTACTGAAATTCTTATACGGTGGAATTAGCTATTCCCGTAATCGTTCAAAATAACTAGTGTTATGTAAGACCAGACCAACATGTTCATATTTTTTTTTCTTGATTGGTCACCGCACTGCATGTTCAAAATAATTAGAATTATGTACGACACTGCAAATAAATAACAAAACACATAATACACAATTTACAACTACAAAACCCATGTCCATGGACAAAATGAAATGGCAAAGTTTTAATGACAAAGATGAAAATTAAAAATAGGATTAATTGCATTGGAGGTCCTCAAAGTATGGAGTTTGTCTCATTTTTGGTCATTGAAATATTAAATATTTTCTATATAGTCCATCAAACAGACAAGGTCCAGATTGTTAACGATTTTTTATCATAAACTAGTCACGTGATACTTAAATATGAATAAAAAAATAATTTTGATAATCCTTGACCAAATTTTTACTCAAATTTTGATTAAATAGCTACAAAAATTACACAGTTTTGATCATGAACTATCTAAAGTTTTGTCAAAAGTTACCAATATTATACATTTTGTATTAAGAGTTATCCAAATTTTGTTTAAGAACTATCAAAAATATTTTTTGTCCCTATTTAAGTATTACGTGATAAATTTATGATAAAAAATCGTGAGCAATCTCTGTACGTTATCTACTTGAAAGACCATATAGAAACATATTCAATATTTCACGGATCAAAATGATACAATTGAAACATTAAAGACCAAAATGAGACAAGTCACATACTTTAAGGACCTCCAGCACAATTAACTCTTAAAAATAATTATTTCAAACGAAAAAAAAACAAAAGACAAAAGACAAATTAAACTAACCCGAATTTATAACACTTATAACCACACCAATTTAAAAACAAGGTCCGGAATCATACGCTCTTATGAATTAGAGAGGAATATAAGACATAATTTCTATGGTGAGCGAATTTTCCGGATGGAGAATTCATGTTTTGTATATTAGCTTGGCCATATGTGCCGCCCGCAGTGAAGACCAAGTCACCAAGATAGTACAAGTAGCAAGAGAGTGTGACATTTGAACATACACATGATAGCCGGCAACTTTGTCACTTGACATTATATACCACCCTATATTCCTTTCTCTCCCCCTTCTCTCTCTGTCTTCAATCATGTGATTTCATGCAAAAAGGGGGAAGCAGTGAAAGGCTAGCATAATGGTTGTGGAAAGAAAGAGAATGAGGTGAGGATTATAGTTGTTTCAAACGTAATTTTTTTGAGCTTGGGAAATTCTAAGTTACAATGGCAAGTAAACAAGCGGGTTCACCGGCATTAGCGCCTTCGAAGATGAAAAGTGGAGGCTTTGTTCTTGGTCATATATGGGGTTGGCTTTTGATTGGCATCGTAACGGTCTTCTTTGGTGGCTTGTTATTTTTCTGTTTCAAGAGGAAGCTCTATGCTAATTGCAGGCTGCGTCGGAATCAAAAAGGTTAGTCTCTTGCTGGGAGATTAGTAGTTACCTAATCTCTAGTGTTACAAGAGCATTATCTTCTAAATTAGATTTCCCTTGCATATTTTTTTTGTGAGTCTTTTCATGGGAAGCCACCGGGCATGTCTTGAATTACATTGTATATCCAAATATCATTTTTACAAAAAAAAAACCTGATCACGTGCACTTGACAACTGAAATTATTTATGGTGAAGTTGAAACAAAATGCGTTTAATTTCTCCTTTCGCGCGCTGTTATGTGTCGGTTTTTAGTTCTGTATATTCATGTTATTCAAGTGCTGACCAAATTTAAAGGCTGTAATGATCATATGTATTCAAAAGACTGATCAAATTTCATGGGAAAATTAGGAAATTTAAATGCTGAGAAAAAGAGGTTGAGGCAATTCCAGTTGGAAGAACTAGAGAAGGCCACCAATAATTTCAGCAAAGATTGCTGGGTTGGGTCTGGTGCTTTTGGAGATGTCTACCAAGGAAAGTTTGATGTAGAGGGAACACTAGCAATCAAGAAGGCCAATGCTGATTCATACACAAGCACCGAAGAATTTAGAAATGGTACGCCTCAATAACTTGCTTTCTGCACAGGCCATTGAGTTTTTATCAAGTATATGTTTTTGAGTAATTGACTTGGATGAAGCTAATTTGAAACAGAGGTCAGGTTACTTTCAAAAGTGAAGCATAGGAACCTTGTAGGTCTGGTGGGATTCTGTGAACAACCTGGTATGTAAAACAATACCCTTCCAATCAGTAAACTGTTTTAAATCTAGACTAGTAATAACAATATCGCGATGCAATGAGGAAAATGGTGTGCAAGCACAAATTAAACCAGAGTGTACAGTGTATACTAATACCGATGATATTAATAACTGCATGTTGATTATAGCCATATAAAGGCATATGTGCATATAACTATTTTTGTGATCACCAACCTATTTTCTGCACAAAAATTATGGAAAAACCCTCTTAGTCATTGGATATGCTTTCCACAGGACAAAAAGGAGCTAAAGTACTGGTTTACGAGTATGTTCCAAATGGCTCACTGCTTGACTACATCATGGGTAAATTTCATTTTTGTTAAATTTTTCCCCTAATGCTTCATGATTTGTTGTATTAATTTCTGATCATCGCCGTTCTAGGAAGGGGAGGGAGGAGCTTAACTTGGAGGCAAAGAGTAAACATAGCCATTAGAGCAGCTAAAGGTAGGTTTCTTGCTTAGTCAATATTGCCATTGACTAGTAAAAATCAGAAGGAAGATCCTCTGAGTAACGTTACTAAAATATATGTTTTTCATATGGAATTTTATGCTCCAGGCATAGCTCATCTTCATGAAGGAATCACCCCAAGTATAATCCACAGGGATATAAAACCAAGTAACATCTTGATCGGAGAGGGGTTCGAGGCCAAGGTTTCAGATTTCGGGCTGGTGAAATCAGGTCCCATAGGGGATCAATCTCATGTTAGTAGCCAGATAAAAGGGACACCAGGGTATCTTGACCCAGCCTATTGCTCAAGTTTTCATTTGTCTCCATTCAGTGATGTTTACAGCTTTGGAGTCATACTTCTACAACTTGTTGCTGGTCGACCTGCTGTTGATACCTCTAGAAGCCATTCTAATTATCATATTATTGAATGGGTAAGTGAAAAGCCAGAAAACATTTCAGCATCTCATTGATTTTGTTTTGCATTTGCATTGCATTTCAAAGGTCCTTGTTTACATCAACATGGACTGAGGTGGTGGTGGTGATCTACAAAGTATGCTGTCTACTTATCCAATTTGTTGACTCAGTCCACTTTATTCAATCAACATCAGGCATCTTTGGGTATCTAATCTTGATCAGAATCCGGATCTAATTAGTCGGATAAGAATTGATATTTTTTATCAATAATCCAAACTTGAATCCATTATACGATGTTCCATGGATTCAGATTTTGGATTCTAGAATCCGTTTGTTGACCGGATTTGAGTATGATCTATGAAAATAATATCTATCGAATATTTGGGTCGAATTTGACTCGGGCTTTTTTTTCATCGGAATCAATTCAACTCGTTGACAGGGCAAGTCAACATATTATTGCATCAGTATTTTGAACCTCTTTTCAATATTAAATTGTAGTCCAGGCCAAGCTTGGAGAGAGGGAATGTTGATGAAATCCTAGATGCTAGTCTTCTATTAGAGCCCTGCAACATGGAAATGATGCTAAAGATGGGACTTCTTGGCCTAAGATGTGTGGTGAAGGTTCCCAAACAAAGGCCTACAATGACTCAAGTGTGGCAAGAGTTAGAGGCAGCTCTCCATTCATCAGACAACTTCATAAACAACCAACCATCAAAGAGTGCCCGGAGATCAGTTGGTGTCTCCAGTCAATCCACAGATCGTGGGAGTTACCGATCAGTGGATCAGGATTATTCCCAGAACTCTGTCAGCATAGATGGTATTGGACTACAGAGATTTCATGTTGAGATGGATAGCCTCTCTTTTCAAAGCGCAAGTTTGAGGTGTTTAGAGACTAATAGCATTAGCATCGACGCTGATAAGAGCAACTTGAGAGGAATAATGGAAGAAACGAGTATCAGTGTAGATGAGGATTTCAGCATTCCTCGCGATTAAACCGAGATTTGTTCTATAAATTGTGAATATGTGTGATGTATGTTAATTGTTTTTTTTTTTTTTTTTGGTATTAAAATGAGTGCATAGCTACTTAGTCCAGTGATTGAGGAGCTTCAAATACTTGTATCCTAACACAATTCAAATCTATCAAGTCATACTTTGGAATGATCGCAAGTACTCTTCCACCTAAGTGATGAATCACGAGTTTAAATTCGGAAATTAGTCTCTCTCCAAAATAACGATAATGCTACTTACTATTTACCTTTCTTGCAGAGGGTATGACAATATTGACATTTTAGCCATTTTATGATATTACTAATCGCTATGTGATCCATTGACCAATAAAAGTCTGTAGAGTTATAGTCTGATTATTGATTGCTGCCGGTAGCCGGTAGAGCACACCCTTGTGGGTTCCTTCGGGTCGGCACCCCTCACCCGGAGCCTCTAGGAGTCAAGCCACCTTGTCCTTGATCAAGCTCCTACAAGTCCACATTGTGCCCACTTTGTTTAGACGCGTCCTACTCAACGAAGGTATAACTTAGAAATATGAGTCTTAATTTAATACCACTCTGAACACTTAGAAGCTGGTGATGAAACACCAAATAGTGAGAGTCCAAGTAAAATGTTATTCCAAACAATCAGAAGTTGGTGATAAGGATCTAGCATCAAGAATCCTAATCTAACTCTATCATGTACTTCTAAGACCTGGTGACAAGGTTGAGCTAATCAATCTAGAGTTCAAGTTTCTTTGAGACACATCTCCCCATTGCTATAAATAAAGGTTTCTGAGTATCAAGTAATTCATTCAATCTTAACCTATTCACTCCATCTTGTTCTTCAACTTGGCCTTCGGCCATTGGTTCACATAAGTATCTCTGGTCTTGCAAGTTATACAAGGCTTCTTTGGTCTTACAAGTTATACAAGGCTTCTTTATTTCCATTCGTACGAGATGGTGACTCTTTGTGCGGAATTTTGCCATCTACACTACAGCAACTAATGCAACTCTGTCACACACACTGGTAGGTCATAGGTGTATCCTGAACTTTAATTGCTTTCAGAAATCTGTAATCTTTGCAATTCTCCATAAAATTTGATTGAAGCAATACAAAATATTGAAATTTCGTTTTGGTGAATAAGTTTTGTCGCCTTGAAAACAAAATTACTGTGAAAAAGTTTTGGAATTAAAATTTTGATTATGAGACCTTGCAATACATTGGACTAAACCTTCCGAAATGTTTTGAATTATCCCAAAACATTGAAATTTCGATCCTCCACCACTGTTTGGTTTTGACATCCAGCAAAACCATGACATTTCAGTCGAAACAAAAAAAAAAATTGATCCTAAGCAATAACCTCCCCTAACATTTGAAAGCTGAGTTCTCCCACCAAGCATGCAATAAATATTGTTGTAAATATCATCAGCAAAAGAGGAGAGCAACAAGAGGGAGAGAAAATTCTGATTTCAGGGATCAAGTATTACACCATTTATAAAACAACAAACTCCAAAAGGAGGGAAAAGGAAGGGAAAATAGCCAACTAGAAAAGATTGTCCTCAAGAAACAATCTCTACATACACTTTAAAGCTCCCTTCCCTCATGTTTTCAGTTTTTTTTTTCCTCCTTTTGGCTCCGAGTTAAATTTTACATTGTACATCAAAAGAATTAATTAGGGCGCACCTTCCATCCTCTCTCTTGAATCACCACCAGTGTCACAAGAAGTTCCAAGAAGAAAACTGCAAAGGATACAATAGAGGAAGAACTCAAGTGGCTGTAGGGCAAGGAGCTAAAGTTTTTGCAGGGAGGTTGACACCACCCCCTCTAATGGACAAAGTCGGCCCTTTCAGTGAGCTGGCTCTACTCACAAGCCAGGAATCTAGAAATACAACTATGACTGTGATGTCGTCATGAAAATGGCGCCTAACCCCACGATCAATCTTCTTCAGATCAGAGTACCTCATCTCTCTCTTCTTTGCTGCTTCCTGCAAGGCAGCTTTGACAAGTCTCCGAGCACTTCCCTGCATGAACAAAAAGTCAGATAAATGCCTTCTGTTCTTCACTATCTCCTTCTACATGTTCTTAATATGATCTTGCAATCCCATAACTTTAGGTCTATAGGTGTCCAATATCAAAAAAAAAAGTATGTAAGAGCATGGTTTTACACTCCTGTTAAATTCGCACAGTTCTCTTTCGTGGCACACACTATAACTTCATATTAAGCGTGTTCAGATCAAAAAGCATAACTTGTGAACCAGAAATCCAAGTCTATGACCTTTTCTTTCAATCCAAACCACCAGGTAAAGGCTCCCACTGAAAAAAACAAAAAATTCTACTCGATCCAGATGTTAGAAAAATAAGTAAATCATTATTTATATTGTAGGTCAAACATGTGTGTTATGCCAAAATAGATTTAATAGTTATGATTGCTTCAATAAAATTAAATTGTGAGAACCAAAAGCATATATCTTTAATATCAGGACAAAGAAATTAAAAAATCACTTAACAGAAGCATATGGAATTAACAGTACATAAAATTCATGTATGAAATATATTGTATTAGCACTAATGCAATAGTTATTGGCACATTTAACTCGACGAATGTAGAGACCTAGAATGATGGCTACCAGTCAACCTAACAGACAAAATTCATTTGAGGTTAAATGATACCAATAATTCAGGAAGATCACTCTTCAAGTCCCACGAAATCTTATCAGTAACTTCAAATTCCAATTGACGGAAATAGTTAAAAACCATATCAACTAAATAAGAAGCCATATTCAGCGAGATAAATATCTTACATTGTGAGGGTGATTCTGCACAATATCAACAGCTTCCTGATTGCTAAGATGCTCCCAAAGGCCATCAGAAGCAAATATGAGGAACTGATCATGTGGCTGGACTTCATGCACAGAAATGGATGGTTCAGTGCTCAAGATGGGCCTTGTAAATGGTTCACGAAGGCGAAACTTTGCATACAAAGGCTCTCTGTTGAATTCAGGTTTTTTAAGGTACACATCACCAATGGATCTAGAAATCTGCAACACAAATTCCGACAAATAAGAAAAGACACATCGATGTCACCATAATCATGTCCTGCCATTTAGGAATAAACATTTCTGTAAGTCTAGCATTTGAACACTGTAAAGTGGGCATTCCCGTACCAAGTGGCTGAAAAACTAACACAAACGTAGGATTTCCAAATTCATGCAGTTGTAACAAAATGTAATGGACATGATGGGTTAGAAACTTGGAGGTTCTACTCTATAGTGTGGCATGCACTGAAAACATTGTATCCACCACTAAGAAGAGTAAGTGAGAGAGTAAGGCAAGTGCAAAGAAATGACACAATATGCAACTGGGCCTTTGTTGCCAGTGACCAAGAGATTAGAGTAGCTTCCCTAAGGAACACCTTTTCTGATGCAACACTCCAAGATGATTGATCTAAGAATAACAATCATTTTTTGAGTATCTTGCAGCAGCCATGAATTTTGCTATTACCTCACTCAAAATTGCATCTCGATCTCAAGTATTTCTTTTATTCAACCGATGCAAAACTTTTTGTTCTAGAGTATCTCTCCACAGAAAAAGTTAGATTTACCCTAATTAAGGGTATCCACTTAAAAGGCATATCGCATCCAAAATATACAGGATGCGCACATATGCATATGCTCATTCCAATAGTAAAGAAGAAAACTACGAGCACAAGGGAGAACTATAGGAGTAGAGCACAACACTAGAAATCATACATAATTCACTCATGATAAGATGAAACCTACTTATCCATGTAGAGTTTACAGCACTAGTGGCCGGCAATTGTGCGCTCTTAAACTTTGATGCTCTAATTTTGAAAAAAGGAGGAGAGTAGTGGAAAAAGAAGATGATGAAGAGCCGAGGAATCGAAAAGAAAAATCAACTACCTAAAACCTATCCTTTCCATATGGAATCAACAGCAAACTGCCTTTACACCCAAACAAAACCCCAAGCAAGCTAGACAACCTAAGTAGGACAACCAGTTGTTGGAACTCTTTCCCTTCAACCCAGGATCCAATGACACAGTTTAAGGGGATTGCATGATAACCAAGGCAGAGATTTCACCAATTTGAGACAAAAGCGTAAGACTCAGAACTAATTCTATTAAGGATTTGAATCAGGTAATCCCTTTAATTTCAGGATTTAATTTTTATTTCCATATTGAAAATTTTCAGAGAAACCAATAAATACTAGGCTTATTGTGAATGGGAAACATCTATATTGATTGATATCATAGCATTGAGTCGAATATATGTTGTCTCTCAACTCTCAGGCTCTTCTTTCTGCTTCTTCCTTTCTCTCTTCAATTCTTTTCCTTTGTGACTGCTGCATCAATAGTTTATATAAGATAAGATATCACTGTCATTAGAAGCTTTAAATGATACAGAAAAATAGTTGGTGCATTTATCTATTTCTTCAAGCTAAAAAGCAAAAAGATAAGAAAGGGTGCAGAAACGAAAACAACAAAGTCAAATATTAAAAGCCCGCAGCTTCGCTTCCAACTTTCAATTGAACAGATAGCATGCTAAACTTATCAAAACATCTACTTAACATGAATGCCAGAGCTCAAAATCCCCCTAAACAATCATAGAAACCACTTAGCATAAAACATGATGCATAACTACTCTTTTCATGATGATAAACAAGATAATGGAAGTCAGAGGAGTGCAACGACAGTAAACTACTGAATGTATTGTATTCTTAGAAATATCATACTGACAAGGTTTTTTCTGGTCTGGAAGAGAAATAACAAGAGATTAGAATAATCAGCGCTGCCCTCCGTCAGTTGGAGGTTGGTCCACCCGAGGAAAGTAAGCAGGTTCTAGTTCAACTAAAACATATTTAAGCAAATCAACTTCAATCAAAATTTTTGATGCAGTCAATCAAAGAGCTCACCTGTATCAGGCCCCTTACACGCCATACATTATGCTTTAAGACTACTATCTGCGAGTCATCCGGATGCAAAGAATGCA